TCAAATTCCAAGTTTTTTTAGTCATACTGTTGGAAATCCAACCTCATCAACCGGTATGTGGCGAGATAAACTAGGCAATATTTTATTTAGTAGCCATAACTGCCTGGATTTCCAGGAATTTTTTTTTCCATACTCGTCTGGATTTCCAGATTCTGTTTCTTCATATACAGTTGGAATTCCGGGGTATTTTCCCCATCATAAAGTTCTGGAAATCCGACCTCATCAACAGGGGGGTGCAGATATAAACTGGAATGGCCCAATTTGATATCACAGCTTTCAAGTTCTTTCAACAACTGAGCAGTGTAAAATAATGTATACAATTGTTTTTATATATATTTTGGGAATTCCTCTCTCATAATGCATTGTCAAATATGCTCAGTAAATGCAACACATGAATTTGTCTTAAATTTGCGGATGTTAAATATATTATAATAATGTTTGCGTGATTCCTTTGTGAAGGACGGTTTGCATAACAGCCTTCCTTTAGTTGCAGGCAAGATCACGTATGTGGTGTTCTGGCCAGGTCGACATACGATGCCGAATACGATTGGGTAATCTCGATCTCATATTAATTGCTACAATGACTTATATTGTTGTGTGAAAACGTTATCAATGTATATACAAACAAGTGGAGATGATATCTTTGAAAAAAAAAAAAAATATTTTTATATTTTGTGATAAAACAATATATCCTGTCGTTATGTTATACAGGACTATTTTCGTGTGTACAGTTGCCATGGTTACCAACCTGCATTATATTAACTAATACATGTTTTGTTTTTTCAGGTTGATACCCATGTTCACGCAGCATCTTGCATGAATCAGAAACATTTACTGCGCTTCATTAAAAGTCAAATAAAAAACAACCCAGACGAAGAGGTTTATAAAGAAAATGGACGTGTTCAAACACTGAAAGAAGTAAGTATAATAATAATAATAATATTAATAATTAAGAGTTTGTATAGCGCCTAATATCCATCATGATGATGCCCAATGACGCTGTCAGTGCACAGAAATGCTCTCTGAAACATATAAGTTTTGAGTTTAGATTCAAAATGTTTAAACTGGCTGCAGAACAAATGTTGGTAACTGATTCCATAATGAAGGAGAAGCATGTGAGAATGAGCGATCGCCATGTGTCTTGAGTCTGGCTCTGGGCACTGTAAGTGTAGATATATTACTTGAATGAAGAGTTCTACCAGGTTGACGGAGTTGAATCAGGTCTGATATGTAGGTTGGTGTTAATCCATGAAGTGCCTTGTATGTGAGTAGTAGGATCTTGAATTGAATTCTGTAAATAACTGGGAGCCAATGTAATTGATGTAGAACAGGGGTAATATGATTGCACTTCTTTGAACGTGTGATGAGACGAGCAGCACAATTCTGTGCCCTTTGAAGTAGATGTATTTGTCTGTCAGGTAAGCCATATAGTAAGGCATTGCAATCGTCCAGTTTAGCAACAAGAATGGAACATACTATTTTAGAACAGGTTTCAGCGGATAGTTACTGTCGGATATGTCCAATACGTCAGATGTGCATGTAAATACTTTGACATGTAGTGGTGATATGTTTTCTGTACTGAAGGGTGTCATAAAATATTACTCCAATGTTACGAGCGGCTTGTACTGGTTTGATAGATGTAGATCCAAGTTGATGACATTTAAGTGGACAGGTCATATTTGGAACGGATGAGCATAACTTCAGTTTTTTAGCTCCGCTGTCGACTTTGTCGAGCGGAGCTTATCATATGAGTGATTGTCCATCGTCGTCCGTGTCAATGTTTTACTCTTTAAAAACTACAAGCCTGAATGCTTTGATACCTAGTGTATATGTGCTTTGGGTAGACCTTTCTTAGATTTGTTCATTTCATGTTGATATCTTCAATTCTATAATTTTGGTGAATATTTTTGTCATTTTTGGTAAATTGGTAAAAAGTGATATTTTCGCCTTCTTGTTAAAAACCGCAAGTCCAATTGATTTGATATATTAAATATATAGGTACTACATGTGGACCTCTCTCAGATTTGTTCATTTTGTGATGATGTCTTAAATTATCTAATTTGGATGAATATTTTTGTCATTTTTAGTGAAAAGTGATATTTTTGAATTCTTGTTGAAAACAGCAAGTTTGATTGCCTTGATACTATACATATTGTTCATTTTTTAACGATATCTTCTGTTCTTTAATTGCAATGTGCATTGCTAACAGCGGAGCTATCTCAGCCGATAGGCTGCTTGTTCATCGTTCAGCTGTAGTTTGTTGTTGGTCATCCAATCTTTGATGTCAAAGAGACAATTCTCAGTTGTGGAAATAGATGATGAGGTGTTGGCTCTGGTGAATGATAGGTATAGTTGATTGTCATCGGCATATTGGTGGAAGTTTAGTTGATGACGACAAATAATTTGACCAAGTGGTGAAATGTACAGTGAAAATAACAGGGGACCAAGTACCGAGCCTATACCATATAAGTATACCATAGAGGGTGCTCTCACTCAAAACATCATTGCAATTTCCCCAAATTAGGATATAGATCCTGGAGGATGATGAATTCAAAATGTGTACAACTAGAATTATGTTACCCCCATGCCACGAGACATTGTATATGCAGTGCACACATTTCTATGGGACCCATTTCGACAGCAATTCAATCTTCCAGAGCTTTAGTTTTTTCAATAAGTGGTTCAAGCAAAATTGGAAAGCCCCTGTATTTCCATATATTTTACTTTTCACTGCTAAAAAGCAACAAACTAGGTGTCATTTTATTGAAATATGTCATTTTGATTGGCTACCAACTGATTTCTACGTAACTGCCCTTTGAGTAATCGGATGGATGAGGCTAACTGGTTAACTTGTGTAATATTTTAAAAGCATTTCAAGTTTTTGATATTTTGCTAGGAGAAAGTTACATCATATCGAGACAAAAAGTGAATACTTGTTAATTTAAAAATTGGATACACACATTAGCACTTTTCCATTTTGTTAGTTGGGATGCTATACCTTCTACATGTATATACTTGAAATCATCAGCAGCAATCAATGACATTTGTATATCTTAAAACGCTACAGTTGTTGCATAGCGTCATGTTCGATATGGGTCTCTTAGCGATGTATGCAATGCATGTGAAATACATACTCACACTGCATGACCGGACGACTGTAGCGTTTTCATTGAGCATCAAGTCCCTGTGGATATGCTTGCATATAACCATAAACGATTGTTTCAAGTTGTCATCAAGTCACTTCTAATTGGCTTTATTTCCAGGTATTTGAGGATATGAAGTTAACTCCGTATGATCTGACAGTTGATATGTTAGATGTACATGCCGTAAGTATTTCACTTACCAATTATCATTCATTACAAAAAAAAGTCATTCAGTGTTCTTAAACTACTCTCATGTCGATGTCCGTCTCTGTCCTAGTGTGTGGATGTAAATAACCTTAAATAATTAGTAATTATTGTGATGACTTCATTTGCATATGGTTTGCTAGTGGCTGTTTTGAATGACAATTAAGCCTGTTGTATATTAGCCTAATTTTTCAATATCAATAATTACAGTATAAACATTTAAAAAAAAAAAAAACTATCGGGTACTCTCATGTTTCCCATGATCATACCTTTTTCTTACAATGTGTACTGAACAGTCAGCATATTTTTCAAATAATATGCATCCACATAAATAACAAATCGAGTGACATATGTTCATACCTATCATACGATACTTTGTTCAAAACCTCTGTTTATATTGAATGAATTACCAAGGATTACCTACTACCATTTTTGTTTCTGTATGGTAAATAATATTTATCAGTCTTTGCAGCTTTCACAAATTTGAAAATAAAATATGTTCAGACCTTTCCTGATGTATCTGTTTACATGCGTTTTTGCCTAATCTCATTAAAATATATTGAAATATATTTATATACAAGTTAGGTGTCTGAAACATGATAACAATTGTTTAAACAAAAAATATAAAACAATCTTGTGAATAAATAAATTACTAAAATTAAAGGTCTTATTGTTTGGGCTATAATTTTTGAGTGGTTGAATTATTGAGTGGGTTTTAGTCAATGGTGACATTTTAGTAAAGATATCAATGGAGGTAATTGTAAACGGAGAAAGAGTGAACAATTAATACAAAATTTACTGCGACTTTTAGTGTAGCAAGATTTATATCTTGTCAGTATGCTGAAACATCACAATGAACTGATGACATTTGAATGTGTTCATTTATTGATATATGGTTGAATTGCTGGTGAAATAAAAAATATAGTTTCAGCCTGTCTGTTTAAGTAAAAAAACCATTATGTACTATTACATGGATTCTATTACAATCAACATTCTGTTTCTGTTTCATTGTATACACACTTCTGTTACTTCTTGTATCATGTTTAATTTAAAATATCTATTTTAATCTCTATTCATGTTTCTGTTTTTTTAGGATCGTAATACTTTCCACCGATTTGATAAATTTAATTCTAAGTATAATCCGATCGGTGAGAGTCGCCTTCGAGAAATCTTTATAAAGACCAATAATTTTAACAATGGGAAGTACTTTGCACATCTTCTGAAGGTAATCAGGTTTAATGAATTTTACCAAAAGTAAAAATCACTGTTGTAGTAACTGATTGATTTTCGTTTCATGTTTCATACATCAGTTAATCAGAACTATCTTGCTTGATCAGTCCATGATGCAAGATGCATATATTGCATTGTGGGATAAATTTATATTGCATTGTGGGATATATTAATATTGCATTGTGGGATAAATTAATACTGCTTCACACATATTATATTGCATTATTGGATATATTTGTATTACATCTTAATTGATATACATTCATATTGCATTATGGGATACATTTATGATGCATTATGGGATATATTTATATTGCATTGTGAGATAAATTTATACTGCTTCACACATTATATTGCATTATTGGATATATTTATATTACATCTTAATTGGGATACATTCATATTGCATTATGGGATACATTTATATTGCATTGTGGGATAAATTTATACTGCTTCACACATTATATTGCATTATGGGATATATTTGTATTACATCTTAATTGGGATACATTCATATTGCATTATGGGATACATTTATATTGCATTGTGGGATAAATTTATATTGCATTGTGGGATAAATTTATACTGCTTCAAACAATATATTATATTGCATTATTGGATGTATTTGTATTACATCTTGTGATACATTTATATTGCATTATGGGATACATTTATATTGCATTATGGGATACATTTATATTGCATTATGAGATACATTTATATTGCATTAAGGGATACATTTATATTGCATTGTGGGATATATTTATATTGCATCTTGGGATACATTGTTTTGGCTTCAAGGATCTTAAATAGTGACTGACACGTCTATTGCAGGAAGTAGCTTCTGACTTAGAGGAGTCCAAATACCAGAATGCCGAGTACCGTCTGTCCATATATGGAAGAGATCGCAGTGAATGGGACGAGTTAGCTAAGTGGGCTGTCAAACATCAAGTCTATTCTGACAATGTTAGGTGGTTATTGCAGATACCAAGATTATTGTAAGTCTTTGTGTTATTGTTTGTTTTTTCTTGAAATTAGTAACACATAGGAATGTTGCAAGTTGTACGTAGAATATTAAATATACAATTGAAGAATTTATAGTATATTTGAAATAAGGAAGCATTCTTTACTCTGTGTCTTAAATTAGAGGAAAATGGAAACAAAGAAATCAAAATATATAAATATAGATATGATGCAGTGAGATTTTGAGTGTTGAATGTTAAATTGTACATCAGACTCTTGAGTATATACATGTTGTAAATGATATAAACATATTATCATGATTAAAGTTAATCTTCTACTACTATTCACTACTACTACCTCCTAAATTATTTAATGAAGTTCAGAATTTTTGAGGTTTTATTATCTTAAATGTGCAATATGTTTGAGAACATATCAATTTTAGTATTGTTGTTTGATATGTATATTGACAGATATCTTTTACTAATTTATCATGATATGAAAACGTTATTCTTTTACCACACATCTTAGTGCTCTTTTGATGGAACAATGAAATTCTGTAATATGTATGTGCACTGATTGTTTTGTCACATGTATTAGTGGTTTTCAGTTTTCATCAAGTGAATATTGTTGCATCCTCTGCAAATGCAACATTCTAAGTTTATGATAAATGATAATCTGATTTAGTCAACAATATTTATTGTTGACCAATAATATTAAAAATTATATGATTGTTTTCCCCCATTACATTTTCAAAGTATTTTTTAAAAGCTAAAAATAAATCTCTGTAATTTTAATCAAAGATTCAAATTTCAATGCATGTTTGAGGGAGTCCTTTTGTTAAGGATATCTGTTTAGTTTTACCTCACTTAGGGTAGGGAGATATTGACATATCGCTATACATTGTGGTGTTTTGGTAGAAAACTGAGGTATGAAATGGGCATGATGACTACAAACCTTTAATTAGATTCTAGGTTTCATCTTTGACCATTTTGCTGACAGATAAATTTATTAAACTAAAATCTAGCAAATAGTCATATTTAAAAATATTGTTATTTTCACAAATAAATAAATTTAAACTGCTGAATATCCTTGCAACATTAAATTAAAACCTATAGTATTTCTCTTTCAACGATATTCTTGCCATAGAGGGCGCTATACTAAAATGTTGAGCTGATTTTAACTGCCATAGAGGGCGCTGTACTAAAAGGGTATGCAGAGTTTTACCATCAAGTCTGGCTTGCATAAACTGCTTGCTCCCTTACTAGACTCCTCTGTTTCAAGTCATTAAACTGAACAAGCGCCACGTCATGTTCGATGTGGGTCCCATGTGACATATACAACAGTGTAAAATACTTGTTAGTTTATACAAAATTTTAACGTGCACTGTTCGACAACCACTGCCCTGGCCATCATTAAATGACTCTACCATTATATTTTCAGTGACATTTACCGAAGTAACAAAATAGTGAAGAATTTCCAAGAAATGTTGGATAATATTTTTATGCCTTTGTTTGAAGTAACTCAGAATCCTGAATCGCACCCAGAGTTGCACTGTTTCCTGAGACATGTAAGTACATATTGGATGTCATTATATTGAAATTTGAACATTTTGACTTTGATGTATTTTTTGTGCCACAAATTAATACATTTGATGTAAATTATGCACATACAAACTAACTTAGGGGGCGACATTCAAATTACGAGCACAACTAACTTAGAGGGCTTTAAATTCAGCACATTATCAGAATAGCTGTTTGAATTTGATGTAACTCTAAAGAAACTAACAATAATTGCAATATAAAAAATGAATAATGTCAGCACATTTTGTAACTGCAATTGTGTATGATGTAAATCAATCACTGGAGAAGAAAACATTTTAGTTTTATCCTACATGTGCACAGTTTGCATATGATTTGAATAAAGCCCTCTAAGTTTCCTTGTAAAGTACAATTTGCATACAATTTGAATGAAACCCTCCAAGTTTGTATGCATGTCCACAATTTGCATATAATTTGAGTTAGGCTTACCAGGCTTAAATTATTGGAGCTACATTCTATATCTAATTTGTTTGTCATCTTTGTTGCCAGGTTACTGGTTTTGATAGTGTAGATGATGAATCTAAGCCAGAGAATCAAGTATTCACTAACGATAGTCCAACCCCTGATCAATGGACAGATGATGATAATCCATCCTATTCTTACTACCTCTATTACTTGTATGCTAATATTGTGGTACTAAATCATTTCAGAAAGTAAGTATTCATTTTGTCTGTCATGCAGCGGGGGAAATAAATGTGGGAGAGTAGTTTGTCAGTTGTTGTCATCATCGTCATTGCATTGTCATGCAGGTGAAAAATAAATGTGGGAGAGTAGTTTGTGAGTTGTCGTCGTCATCATTGCATTGTCATGCAAGGGGGAAGAATAAATGTGGGAGAGTAGTTTGTCAGTTGTTGTTGTCATCATCAATTGTCTCTGTTGTAAATATTTCTGTGATTATTAAAATTGTATGTGTGCAGAAAATGTGTTTTACTGCACAGCAGAAGCAGATGTATGATTCAGGTATGTGTGACTGCCTTCCACATTATGGCATTATCGCAAAATGATGCACTATTCCAATCTCCACCATTTGTCCAGTCCATGTACCATCTGAGCACGCATACAATAAATGTCGTTCACAAAAAACATTACTCAATACATAGTAGCATCATTTATTTTATTAAGTTTAACCTTTTCACCAAGTTCATAGAATAGCCCTGTTTATAGCCTGCTATTTTCCTACAAGATTGGGACAAAAATAGGCAAATATTTCGTGTAATAATTAAAAATTTACTAAAATTTTGTATGTTGCCTCTAAAATTAGGGTTCATTTCCAGAAATATTGAAGAATATTAAGTTAAGCCATATTTGTAAGTGATTGAAACTTTTTGCAGACTTGGTATTTCAATCACTTATGACTGCAGTCCCTAAGATAATGATATTTTGCTAGCTGGTAAATCGAGTTTCAGGTTTATCAAGGCTTGATAACCAAAGACACTCAACTTATATGGTGTATTATGTTTGTGTCTATTCATAATCTGTAACAGCTTTGGAAAACACTTCTGGCACATCAATCATAAATGCTTGTAGACATACATACATGTACATTGAGTGGGCACAGAACCAGTTGAACAATATTATTTCAATGTTGTCAATATAAATGCTGATAATCTGCAGGTCAAAATAACATATCTTAGATTTAACTCTATGAACGCCAAAGTGTACCTTTGTTCACAATATATATTTGCATAAATTTTTCCATATTTGTACATAGATTTTCGTGATAACTTGTATCCAATGAAATTTTTTTCCATTTCGTTCAAAATTATTAAAAAAATTATATAAAAATACATATAAATATGCAAAACGTTACACTCAAATTTGATGGAAACAAATATGGCACTCAAATTTTTAAATGATGTCACTTAACTCTCAATGTTTGTTTGTTTCTCACAGAGAGAGAGGTTTTAATACCTTTGTGTTACGTCCGCATAGTGGTGAAGCGGGTCCAGTACATCACTTGGTATCAGCATTCATGGTAGCTGAAAGTATCGCACATGGTCTACTATTGAGAAAAGTAAGCAATATTCATGCATTGCTGGCCAAATTGCCAGGCACTCAGTATTTGATCTTTATTTTGACACACTTAATACCATTAATGTAAAACATTCAAAGCATTCTAAAATCAACCTACTGTAAAATCTGTATTAAAAGCTGCATCCCTAATAGAATATTTAAATACCGGGGTACTGTAAAATGATTAATTTTCACTGGGTTTAAATTTCGCTGATTTACCATTTTAGGCATATTCAGTGGGTTTTAAATTCATGGTTTTATCACTTAGATAATGTGTTCTATGCTAAATTTTACTTATTCACTGGGTTTTAATATAGCGCATTTCCCAGCTAGCGAAATAAGCAAAATTAAAACTCAGTGAATAATTAAGCCTTTTACAGTACCAGAAAGTCACTATATTTGTAGATCAGCTTCTAATACAGGTTCTGTCATATTACTAATTGGGCAAAATAAAATAAATGTTATCTGATGAAAATTAAGTCTCAACATTTTGCATACAGATTTTGCAAAATGTTGGAACAATTCCACAATTTCAATGTAACCGATATCCAACATATTGCTCAGCAGTTTTATGTCTTGTGAAATCTCAAAAGTTTTCATAAAATTTGACGAAGATTGAAGCTCCAGTCACTTATTTTCTGTTCAGGGTGAATGGTGTATACAAATTGTGTTAAAACAACCTTTCCTGTATTCAGATTTATCAACCAATTAGAGGGTACCTTACTAAAAAGTGATAAGTAATTCAAGTTATGATTGGTTGCAAATGACTTGCATAGATAATTGGTCAGATGTAGTTATAGATGATGCACTCTGGTGGTCAGAAGTAAAATCACCCACTCTCTCTTAGCCACATTTGATTTTAATCAGATCGACATTAACCATACATTTCGCCAACCATCCATGTGTCTGTCTATTTTGTGATCATCTTAATATAACTCTTGCATGCTATGTCTGATTTTATTTAACTCAAACATAATATGCATTTAATATGCATATTATGAGTCAACTTTTAACTTTGTTAAAACCGATAAAAACTATTAAAAAGCTGCAACACAGCTAACACTACCGTTGGATATCAATCAACCCAATAAACACTTGTTCCCAAATTGGTATGCTCTTCGGTGAATTGAGCTTTCCAGTCATGGGTGATTTAAAGGGTGGTGGTCGTCGCGCAGTGCGTGTTCAAATTCCATGTAAACAAACAATATATTGAATACGCAGCTTTTAGTACGACGACTAATTCCACATATGATGTTTTTTTGTTTGCAGTCTCCAGTACTTCAGTACCTATATTACTTATGTCAGATTGGCATTGCTATGTCACCACTTAGTAATAACTCACTGTTTCTCAATTACCACCGCAATCCACTGCCGGAGTTCTTGTCGAGGGGATTGATGGTGTCGCTGTCAACAGATGATCCATTGCAGTTCCATTTCACTAAGGTAATACACATCTGTAATTATCTGATGGATTAATTATAGGCTAGAATGAAATGACTTTCAGAGGCAGTCCGAAAACGGGGACTTATATTTTGACCTCTGTGCGTCCATACTTCCGTGCGTGCATGTCTGTCCGTCCGTCCGGACCTGTATCTTAGAAATGCCTGGACCAATCACAATCAAACTTCACACATACATCATACATGATATTATACATATGATGTATATGACCTTGATGCACATCATTTTGTTTTTAGATAAGATTCAAAATGGCCGACTGTGGTTCAAGTGCCATATCTCTGACTTGCTTTGACTGATTATGTTCAAATTTTATATATTCATTATACATCATGTCATAGATATACAGATATATTGGTTTGACGATTCTATTAAAAATAGCCGAATGGTGACCATTTTTGTGCTAAAAAATCATCAAATATCAAGCATTTCTGGCATTTATAGATGGATTTTGTTCAAACTTGGTACATACATTAGAAATTACTGGTTTCTGATGCACGTTATTTTATTTTTCAGATCGGATTCAGAATGGCTGACTAGCAGCTATTTTGTTTTATTGAATGGACTTCTAGTGCCATATCTCTGACATGCTTTGACTGATTATGTTCAAATTTTATATATTCATTATACATGTATTCAAAATGGCTGATTTTGTTTTAATAAATGCTGTTCCAGAGCGATATCTCACAATACTCGTTTGACGATCAGCTACAAATGTCAATCATTTTAATGTTAAACAATCATTATAATCATATTCCTGACATGTTTATATTCCAGCTACATTACTATAAACAAAACTATATATTATAAATTCGTTAACTAACAGGGACTATGCCAATGTATGGCTTGTGTGTTTGGGTTTTCAAATTTATTGCTTTCATGTCAAACATTTATTGCATTCGGGTCACATGCACATTGCATATCTTTGAAATGCAGAATGAAATATTATGAATGTGAAAAATATGCGACAGGAATACCTTAAACATGTGACTTTTATGTGATAAGTACACAAAGCTCTGTGGTAGAGTTTATGGATACCATACTGTTTTATGCACAGTGGTTTTGTCTAAAAGGAGGCTGCCAACTAAATAGCTACCTGCTTTGCTTGCTAAGCCAGCTACTGTGCATTTTTAAGATCCAAACCTATAATCAAGTATTATAGTTTAGCCTCTTACTTTATAAATTTAGTTGTCTAATCCAGAACTTGGGCATGATGCAACAACTGTTTATGCACTATCTGCATCTGAAAAAAATGTGATTATTACGGAACATCTCTCCACCTGGTGATAATATCTTATTACATCGAATTCATTTCCCTTTCTCATCTTAGTAATATTCACAGATATAGTTACCGTACTCGACCGCGTTAGCGCCCATGCCCGGTCAAGCGCCCACCCCAAAAAATCATGATTTTCTGAGTTGAGACCCCTGGGCACTAACGCAGGCGAGTACGGTACTTGTTAAACATCCACTTGGTACATAAAAGTCACAAAGTCCTTTTAATATTGGTTTTTTTAGGAACCTTTGATGGAGGAGTATAGCATTGCCACACAGGTGTGGAAACTATCATCTTGTGATATGTGTGAACTAGCTAGAAATAGTGTATTGATGAGTGGATTCCCACATGAGGTAAGTACACTGTGATATGTGTGAACTAGCTAGAAATAGTGTATTGATGAGTGGATTCCCACATGAGGTAAGTACACTGTGATATGTGTGAACTAGCTAGAAAATAGTGTATTGATGAGTGGATTCCCACATGAGGTAAGTACACTGTGATATGTGTGAACTAGCTAGAAATAGTGTATTGATGAGTGGATTCCCACATGAGGTAAGTACACTGTGATATGTGTGAACTAGCTAGAAAATAGTGTATTGATGAGTGGATTCCCACATGAGGTAAGTACACTGTGATATGTGTGAACTAGCTAGAAATAGTGTATTGATGAGTGGATTCCCACATGAGGTAAGTACACTGTAATATGTGTGAACTAGCTAGAAATAGTGTATTGATGAGTGGATTCCCACATGAGGTAAGTACACTGTGATATGTGTGAACTAGCTAGAAATAGTGTATGGATGAGTGGATTCCCACATGAGGTAAGTACACTGTGATATGTGTGAACTAGCTAGAAATAGTGTATTGATGAGTGGATTCCCATATGAGGTAAGTACAACATGATCAGTATGATAAACTAACCTGTCTCATGACTGTAACAATCAGAACACATTTTTTAGCTTCGGTGTCGACAAAGTCGAGCGGAGCTTATAGTATTACTGATTGTCCGTCGGCATCCGTCGTTGCCATTGTCAACTTTACATTTTCAACTTCTTCTTAAAAACCACAAACTGTATAGCTGTGAAACTTTCTAGGAAGGTATCTTGAGTGGTTCTCTCTCAGATTTGTTCATTTCGTTTGGATATGTTCAACTGTCTTATTCATAGTGAATATTTTTGTAATTTTTGGTCAAAAATGCTATTTTCGACTTCTTCTTGAAAACCACTAGCCCAAATGCTTTGATACTCGGTATGTAGGTACTTTGGGTGAACCTCCCTCAGATTTGTTCATTTTGTGATGATATCTTTAATTCTCTAATTTTCATGAATATTTCGTCATTTTTAGTAAAAAGTGATATTTTTGACTTTTTGTTAAAAACCGAAAGTCCAATTGTTTTGATATTACATATATAGATACCACATGTGGACCTCTTTCAGATTTGTTCATTTGGTGATGATATCTTCAATTCTTTAATTTTCATGAATATTTTTGTAATTTTTGGAAAAAAAGTGATATTTTCAACTTCTTGTTAAAAACCGCAGATCCAATTGCTTTGATATTACATATCTAGGTTCTACATGTGGTCTTCTCTCAGGTTTGTTCATTTCGTGATGATATCTTTAATTCTCTAATTTTCTGAATATTTTTATCATTTTTGGTAAAAAGTGATATTTTTGACTTCTTGTTAAAAACCGCAAGTCTAATTGCTTTGATATTATATATACTACATAGGTGCTACAGGTAGACCTCTTTCAGATTTGTTTATTTCGTTATGATTTTGTTCTTCAATTATCTAATTTTAATGAATATTTTTGATAAAAAGTCTGATTGCTTTAATACTATACATATTGTTCATTTTCTGATGATATCTTCAGTTCTTGAATTGAAATGTACATTGATAACAGCGGAGCTATCTCAGCCGACAGGCTGCTAGTGATCTTTTAACATCCTGTACCATTTGACAAAAATTGGCGTCCTATGTGATGTGGTTATATCATGTTTTAGTTTGTGATAGCTGTAATCTTTTTCTGAATACTAATAAATCATCTCCAATTCTGTGAGATTCTGTTTTATGTGTGAAATTGAATGTTAAAACTGGACAAACAAAGGTCATAGTCGTGTCAAAACATTGCATGGGGTTTTAGGGTGTTTCCACTTTCAGTAATGTGCTGAACTGCTTTGATGATGGTGAATTTTGATAATAAAAGTAAGTTCATCCCAAATGCAATATTCTTTTCTAAAAAGATAGACATTCTTACAGTAAACTATAAAAAACAAGAAAATAAAGCTCATAATGAAATAATTTGATTTTTGTGGCAAATATTTGATCTGTGTCATTCATGCATTACGCAAGATCTCAGTTGTGAATGGAAAATGATCTATTCTGCATTGTTAGAGAGTGAATGTTGACTGTTGTTAATTTGGTTCATAATGTTTTGTTCACAGATGAAGCAGTACTGGCTGGGGGGATCCTATCGCAAAGAAGGTCCTGCTGGTAACGACATCACACGTACCAATGTTCCTGATATCCGGGTTACTTTCCGTCATGAGACTCTTCAAGATGAGATCTCAACTATTTGTAAAGCTGTGTTAGGCGATCAGTGATTGTGATATACTATGAAACAGAGAATCCATCAAAGTAAGCTGTACTGCTATGGAAGTGTGAGAACTGGGTGGTCATTGCAAGTTTTCTTAACACAGAGAAAAACCACAATTTCTTAAATATTGTACATGTGTTAAAACAAGTGACAGACAATGTCTTTCTAGAACTTTCATAGTGTTTATTATAGATTCCATTTCTAATATCACAATGCAGTGCCATTTATCATTGTTCATGGGCATTAAAGGGGTGCATCATTTTCTGTTAATTTTCAATAATTACTTCTATGACTTTTGTATTCCTCATCATGAGACTGACTACATATTGATACTATATAGATTATATAGATACTATATAGGTTCACATGTGTATATACTGTAAAACACGTCTTTTTAGCTAGCATGTTATTTTAGCTAATTTAGCTAATCCACAATTTCACTAAATTAAGATGTCGCTAATTAGAATAGAGTGTATTCTCACAGTAAGATTATTGGCACTTTAGCTAAATTAAAATTCAGTTAGTTCATGCATTGAGTCAAATTCGCTAAAATGATATGTGGCTATTTCAAAGTCTTTTACAATAATTTACCCAAGTGCATTTGAACATTTGTCACTAATCAGGATTGTCAATGTTCTTCTCATACAAAGTGGTAGAAACATATTTACTTACACATTAATGTGTATTAGAATCAAGGATTCTTTAGCTTTGTGTGCTATGTATCTGCCTACTAATATAGGCCTCATACTTGTTTATATTCAAGTGTATTTGCATGTCAAGTGTCTTGTGACAATAACCAGTCTATTGCACCCAAGGTTAATAAAGGTGTCATGTGGCATACTCCTCCTGGAAAACGCTTTATTGTTTATTATTTAAATGTACAATTGTCATCTCTAACGTTTCGTAATTCCCACAATATTAACAGTTTTTAATAGTATATTTAGCTTTCGACGAAATTTTTTTTCGTAGGAATGTAGTTGGTCAGTGCGCAACATATTTCGTCTGTCATTCGCATGCTGGTTGTCAAATATATAAACAAATGACGTCACAGTGGTACTGCCGATTAAAACAGCAGTGCATCAAAGAGACAATAGTCTGCTGATGTCTCACTAGAATTGCATAATACCTCTTTGTGATTCATGTTTGATATAGGGCCCATTTAAGGTATACAACATGCGTAAAATATTTTGTTTGAACCACATGCTGTACAGTGACTGTGATATATATGTATAAGTATATGATATAGCATGTAGTTAGGATTTGTATTAAATTGCCAAATTAGAATTTTAACCTTTATGATAGTCAGTACAAATTAGTCCTGAGGGACTCTCTACTTAGTTATGTACATTTACTATTTGTCTGCATTGACAGGCAACTGAAATGCTGGAGGTAAATCCTGTCTATGTTGAAAGAAAACATACTTGCGTATGATAATTGATTTGCTTTATGTCTACTACCAATCCATTTGATGCCAACAGTTGTTTGTCATTACTCTCTCTGCTGTGTGGATATATCATTTGATTTCTTGTGTGCTTATATTCTTCACATGGGTGTGAATGATTCCGTAAAAAAAAATCCAAATGTGTATGTTCATGATGTTGGATATTTACATTTCTATTGCAATTACAAATGTATGTATTATTTTATGTCTACTTGCCACTTTAAAACATGGTGTTTGTTTATTTCATACATAAACAACAATTGCCACCAAGATTTTTACATGTATATGTGAATGTATTGATAAGATATGTGGCAATATTGTGTTACCAATATTTTACTTTGTTTATAATATCTTATTGATATTTTCTTTTCATAGTAACTGTTATTGCTCATTACCCAGGGCCATTGAGAAAGCATTTGACCTCATCCTGATACTGTTAGTGCAACCTGTATTTGTAAAAAAAAAATTATAATCCAGGTTAAGTTTAATGTTACATAAATACAGGTCATTGTTAGTTATATAGATAAGACACATAAGTGTTTTGGTAATTGTAATATTCTGATATTTTATCATGCCAATACATGTTACACAATGTATAAATCAGGAGTTCAGAATGAGTTATCCATTTAAAGTTAGAATATTAAATTAGAAGACAGATTTTTGTGTATTATTAGATATATTACTAGTGATAGACTACACTATGTGTAGAAGCTTCCAAGAATATCAGTACACATTTTTTTTTAATATTAAAATATTTTATTAGCATTTGTTTTTGTTTTATCGCTGATCGTACATATTTTTAAAAATTTCAAGTTACATATTTACTGTATGGCGAAACGTATAATCGATTCATGCTATTAAAATACATGAACATATTGTATATGAAGTTTCGGATTCAATAATATGTGTACATACTCTGTTTCTCTTTCTCTCTCTCTCTCTCTTGCTCTGTTTCTCTTTTTCTCTCTCTTTCTTTCTTTCTCTCTCTCTCTCTTACTCTTTCTCTCTCTTTCTCTCTTTCTCTTTCTATATATATATATCTATATATATATTATAAGTTTTGGTGAACAAAAAAATAGTTCAGTGCAGTTAACTCTGTATATTGTGAAGATTATCATAACTGACTTCTCTACTGAGATTGAAATTTAGGTCAATCTAATTAATTAACCCAGAGTCAGTATTACAGTGGCTCTTAGATGCACTATATACATGATAAAAAAAAATGTATGAAATCAGTTCCAAAATTGTAAACCAGACGTTAAACAATGAAGTCAAATATTTAACAGCTTTTACTGAAATATTAGTATTGTTCATCATGTCGGGTGCAATCATTGTATCTACCCCTGTACGTAATTTTCGAAAAATTACACAGGGATATTTTCTAGAGCTACTATCAGCTTTTCAGTTGTAATCGTGCTGTCCCTACTATAATGTATTATAAATTACTGGCTTATGAATAGAAATACAATGTAACCTTAGTATTCGCTGACTTTAGTCTTCGTATCACTATATATTTCGAATAACAAATAGCCACAAATATAAGACTGTGTTAATACTGCTGTGAACACTTTGTCGCATGTTTACTCTGCCACAACTCAGAGTTTATGTTAACGTGTAAGACTTTGTAAGAGAAGTGAATAGCGAGGCATTACCTCAGCTGACCGTTTGGAAGAATAAAGCTGGACTACCTGTAATTAACTAATGTGTATTCTTTTGGGTCAAATCTGGTATCTCTACGTGTAAGTGTTTATAAGCGAGTCACAGTTTTCAGACCACAACACAACACAACTGTATTTTATCTTTGCCGTCACGCCACTCTCTTTTTTTTTGTTCCAGTGTCACCGCTATTTTCCTTTGCTTGTTCAATATTAAATTGATTTTCAGACAGCAGTTTAGACGTAGGCATGGCCTGGACTTCATCATAACAAACCATGGTTGAAACAATGAGACAAATCAACATCATCATTACAGCCGTTTTGCCATGCCGATAGCCGGGTTCTATACAAAAAAAAACACACAGTATATGTAAAATAATTTAAAGACACGTTATTTAAAATGTTAAGATGTAGTGACGCATTTATTATATTACATCTATCGCATAAATTGCAACTAACAAGTGTCGGTGATCCGCCGCTAAAGGAACTCGGCTGAAGCTAGCAGACACTCCCAGCAGACAGTGGAAGCTAGCAGACACACTAGCAGCCACAGTCTATAAGGCATAATAATGCTTTGAATCAAAGTTTATCACATCTTTTTGCATCACGTAATCATAGTTTGACATCAATATATTAATATAAATGGCTAATATTCATTTAAACAGAGAAATTCTAACAAATGTACTCACTCCCCCTGAAAGTGTATCTCTATGTGAGTGTATATAAACACTATTCCCAATATTTTTTGGGAAATATTGAGTGTGCACCTTATCCACATATATGGTATGAAACATACATGTATTGACTACAATTTGTGATAGGTGACATTTAATAATTAGCAGGACAATTTTAAAATCTGGAAATCATAATTGTGGTATAACTGCCCTATCAATATGCTAGCAGACACTAA